ATGCCTTTAACATTACATCAAACTCAATAAAGTATTGAAAATGATAAAAGAAAATAAAGATATATATCGGAAAAACAATATTTGCATAATAACAACTGTATAAAACTATGGAAATGGTAGTTTTAATATTTTTAGTTATTTACTCCAGTCCTCCAAAATTTCAAGAATTATCATTTCATACAGCTTGAGCAGCATATTAATTTTTGAAACTCCATCATTTATATTAAGCTTATGTAACCCATACATTAACCCCAGGCTGCAAGAATGTTATGATATAATAAGCTAATTATGTTAATCACAACAATTTATATGTTATATTTTCTTTTTAAAATTCTCTTTACCTCATAAAAATTTTAAATATAAGGTCTGGGGAAAGATAACAATATAATATTCAAATTAATATTCAAATGTTTTCTTTAAAGCAGCCGAATGTACCATTTAAAAAGTATAATTAGCAATACATAGAGTAACAGGAAAAAGCAAAGAAATGAAGCCATTCTTTATTCTGTTGAAATTAAATACAGAGCTCCACTCTTTCTGCATTCTGCAGATAAGCTGGAACAATCTTAAGAGCACTGAGCAACCTGCATTAATACAGATTTGAAACATAAATGAATGCAAGACTATAAAGCACATTCAGCAGCAACATCTGCTTATTGGTTAGTTCATTATTAGTGTTTTGCATTTACTAACTGTTCAAAAAACAAACTGCTTAAGTGTCCACTTGAAATAGACAATATTATAGTAAAGCATTCATCAGTCAGCTGGCTCCAAACTCTCCCATCTGTGAAGGAAAGGAGTTTTGCTGACAGAAGAAACAATTCTGGTGGGGAGGTGGGGAGGTGGGGAAACGACATTATCACAGAAGCTGTCTGCCTTTGGATCCAAGCTATAGAAAACTTCTACTTATGAGAAAGAATAGGACTGCAGCATATATGTTTTAGTTTATATCCAATAAATATATGAAGGAATGATCCAAATAATTAAATGTGACTAAGAAAAACAATTTATAGAACATATGCATTGTTTAATTAATGTTGATTATGCTGCTGCACTGAAGGAGGAGGGCAGGAGTTAAAATGTCAAGGTGATGGACACAATGCAATTGTAATCATCCATCCTTTTTTAAGTAGTTCATCCCTGCAGACACCCCAAATAGTGGTATGTTTTGAGAAGCCAGTCAAAATAGCATTGTACCACTCTGGGTATCATTAACCTTGGCCAATCTCAAAAACTGCTAACATGAGTTAAATTTGGCCAGTACTTGTAGAGCACTAGGGAATTCTTTTGCTGTTGACTAGACTCAAAATGAAAAAAAAAAAAAACAATCAGGAAAAAAGCAGTGATCATTACTGTTTTCCAAAAATCAAATTTGTGTCTAGGTGATACCAGTCAAATTCAAACTTGAGGGAAATATTACATTTTACTCTTTTAATGTTAAATGTTTTTTTTTCTGTTTGTATTATTTAGTTGGAGGTTGGAACAGAATTCATATGAGATCATGTCTGTGTACACATACACATGGGCATGTATGATATGGAGTTTTTTAAGTGAGATTTGGCAGTTTTGAAATAGTTGCATACTTCCAAGCATCATCCCTTTTCATAAAGCTGCAGAAAATGTAAGGATTTTCTGCTATTCCCATTTCTTCTTTTCGAAGTGTTAGAATATGCTTATCACATTGACAGTACTTTATATTGTAACAAGTATGAAATATATTCAGAAAGTATTTTTTTTAAAAATTGATGAAATCAAATGTTCAGTTTGTGACATAAAAGGAAATACAAAACAGTTCATATAACCTTCATATGATGGACAAATAGATGAATGGTTCATTCCTTTGTTGCTAATTTTTCTTTCATTTCTGACCAAGTCAATTTTGTTATTTTTGTTCTGTTTGACACAAATCCTTACTCTCCATAAAATTTCTATTTTTGTAGGGCCATCTGTTATTTTCTTTCTTTTGGCAATTTCTATTTTTACCATTTTTATGATACCCAAAACAGTTCCACAACCTCCTTGGCTATAAAATATTTCACATTTAATTCCTAATAGACAATTTTTCATGTATTCACATTTTCCTTCTTCCAATATCATTTATCTCTCTATATGCTACAAAAAAATGTCTGCCTTCTACAAATCAGGTATTGCTGCTGATAGCATACTAATTTCTCCAATCTTCTACCATAAATTAGATTCTGTACCTGTCAACAGTGGTGTCCCCCAAGACAGTGTTCTAGGACCAACTCTCTTCATACTCTACATAAAAGACCTCTGTGATCATATTAAGAGCAGCCGTGTTCTCTTCGCTGATGATGTAAAGCTATTCAACACCACAGATAATTCTACTACCCTTCAAGACCTCGACTATGTATCAGAATGGTCAAACAAATGGCAACTTCAAATCTCAACAAATAAATGCTGTCTTACATATGGACAAAAAAAATCAGAAAATTAACTACAAGCTGAATAGTCAAGACCTTGTTGATGATCCAAACTCTGTCAAGGACCTTGGAGTACTCATCTCAAATGATCTAAGTGCTAGAGCCCACTGTAACTACATAGCCAAAAAGGCATTAAGAGTTGTTAACCCAATTCTATGTAGCTTTTTCTCAGGTAATATCATACTACTAACTAGAGCATACAAAACATTTGCTAGACCAATACTTGAATACAGCTCATCAGCCTGGAAACCACATTACGTATCTGATATTAACACAGTAGAGAAAGTCCAGAAATATTTCATAAGAAGAGTTCTCCACTCCTCTACCTTATGCCACCAGACTTGAAATTCTAGACCTAGAAAACCTAGAACTATAGTTTCTTCAGTCCAATCTAAGTATAGTATATAAAATCATACATTGCAATGTCCTACCTGTCAATGAATACTTCAGTTTCAACCATAACAATACAAGAGCACACAATAGATACAAACTCATGGTTAACCGCACCAAAATTGATTGTAGGAAATATGACTTCAGCAACAGAGTGGTCAATGTCTGGAATATTCTACCTGACTTTGTTGTTTCTTCCCCAAACCCCAAAAATTTTAACCTTAGACTGTCTACTATTGACCTCACCCATTTCCTAAGAGGTCTGTAGGGGGCATGCATAAGCGCACCAATGTGCCTACTGTCCCTGTCCTATTCTTTCTTTTATTTTTCTTATATGTATCCATGTATTCATAACTATGTTTATACTTATACCTATTATCTTGTAGGCAATTGACAAATAAAATTAAATAAATAAATAAACAATACTTCCAAAGTATTGTATTAGTATCATGAAAAAATACAATTGTTAGCCAATACACAGAATTATAGTTGCAAAGGGACATTTATACAAATTAATCCAGCTTCTAATCAATACAGGAATCCAAAATAAAGCACTGCCACCAGATCAATGGTAGGATTCAAAATTTTTTACTACCGATTCTGTGGGCGTGGCTTGGTGGGTGTGGCAGGGCAAGGATACTGTAAAATCTCCAGTCAGAGGTGGTATTTGCTTGTTCTCTGAACTACTCAAGTTTCTGCTACCAGTTCTCCAAAATTGGTCAGAACCTGCTGAATACCACCTCTGCACCAGATAGCTGTCTAGTCTCTGAATACTTCTAGAAAAAAAGAAGTTCTCTTTTCATCCACATAATTGGTACCAATACCAAGCTGTTTTACTGCCATTCAGCCATAACCTGCCCTCCTATAATTGCCACCTACTACTCCATGTGTCATTGTCTGGAACGATGGTGAACAGGCCTTGAGTTGACAACTTATGTGGCATCCTTTTCTAGCATTTATCATATCCCTTCTCAGTGAGTTTGCATAGATTACCAATTCTAACTATTTATTACTTATGTAAATTAGGTAGTGCACATTGTGTTTATCATCTCAAAGGTTTCTTTAGATAAAAGTTTTTTTTAAGTTGATATTGAACAAACTTTAACTAGAATTTGCTATTTTGAAAGATATTTGATCAAAACTTTTAGATTCAGACTAATGGAAAACCAATAACATTTCAATAGCTGGAATTGGATATTCATTTCACTTGCTATTGGGAAAGTTCAAGGAGATAGATTAATTATTTTCTAACAAAAGAGCAAAAGTTTGACTCAGAGTTGAACTATTAAGCCCTTGAGCTCTGCTGAATTGTGGAGCATCAAGGTCTGCATAATTATTTTCTGCTTTATATTTAGAACTGCCAACTAGTCTTTCTGAGACTATAAACAGCAATTGGCCATGTCATTTAGTAACAGATTTGCCTGCTCATGTAAAGAAAATAATTTATGTTTCCATATATTCTGTCTTTGATTCCAATCAAGAAAAATAGTTAATTCAATTAAACAATTGCCCCAACATAAGAAAAGAAATTAATTAAAGGAAATTACAAAGTAGAATGCATAGATAATTATATTTCAACAATATGATAAAATATTGGGTGTGTGGTATTCCGGACTAGCAGGCTCGTAGCCTGCAAATCTGATTGGCCTGCTGAAAGCCGATCATGATTGGTCGCCATAGACTGATGCGCTTGGCCAGTAAACGGGCTGCCACGATTGGCCCTGACAAGAGCGGCAAACTCAAATCGCCTTCATTGGCTGCCTAGTGGCAGCCAGCCCTATATAAGGGGCTGCTGTGGCTGGGGTTAGTTGCTCAGATCTGAAGTCACAAATAAAGAGCTTTAGTTACTATCTGAGTCTTGCCTCCGTTCTTGAACCGTCCTCCCAGATATAACACTGGCGACGAGGATGGGATGCAGAGGCAACGAAAGCTATTGAAATTGAGCTAGCCGAAGGAGCACGTGGCTGACAGAGCGCAACGACGGCGATATGGCCAGCACCCGCACCATTCGATCCAGCTAGCAAAGATTGGGACTCATACATGGACAGATTTCAAATGTTCCTGGAGTCCAACAACCTCAAAGATGCCACGCCCAGCAAGAAATGAGCTGTTTTTCTAACCCATTGTGGACCAGCCGTTTTTAAATGGCTAAAGCCTTAGCTTTAGGGTGACTACAAGGCCACCCTCAACCACGCGCTACAGCAGAACGCCTACCCAGTGCCAGTTGTTCAACATCTCCTGCATTCACTTGGGGGTGGCAAAATATTCGCAAAATTAGATCTGGCCCAAGCGTATCAACAGCTGCCAGTTGACCCCGAGACTGCAGAAGCCCAAACTATAGTCACACATCGTGGTGCATTCAAATGCAACAGGCTCCAGTTTGGTGTAAGCGTAGCCCCAGGCATCTTTCAAAGCCTGATGGAGAGACTATTACAAGGGATAAAAGGGGTCGTGCCCTATTTTGATGACGTATTAATAGCAGCACCCACAAAAAACCAATTAGAAAAACGTCTCAGAACAGTCCTACAGAGGTTCAAAAACGCTGGCCTCAAGGTTAAGAAGGAAAAGTGCCAGCTTTGCACAGAAAGGGTGGAGTTTCTTGGCTACCTCCTTGACAAGCAAGGAATCCACCCCACAGAAAAAAAATTGGCAGCTATCAAAAACGCCTCAAGACCTAAAAACAAAACCGATCTCCAAGCCTTCCTGGGACTTATTAACTTTTATAACATCTTCCTACCCCAGAAGGCGACTGTTGCTGAGCCCCTTCATAGACTACTCAATAAAAGGGCATCCTGGAATTGGGGACGTCGGGAGGAACACGCCTTCCAGCACGTAAAAGACCTCCTTACCTCAAAGGCAGTACTAATTCAGTATAACGAGACACTACCTTTGACTGTCACGTGTGATGCCTCACCATTTGGGGTAGGGGCCATCCTGAGCCACGTCCTACCAAACGGCTCAGAAGCACCAATTGCATTTTTTTCAAGAACTCTATCAAAAACAGAAAGAAACTATAGCCAATTAGATAAGGAAGCCCTTGCAATTGTCTCTGCAATAAAACGATTTCATGAATATGTTTATGGGAGACCGTTTTCTATTATAACAGATCATAAGCCACTACTTGGGATCCTGGCGGGTGACAAACCTACTCCACACATTCTCTCCCCCAGAATGACGCGATGGTCAGAATTTCTCGCTGCCTACGACTATCAATTAAAGTACCGCCCGGGGAAATCTATTCCCCACGCAGATGCCTTGAGCCGCTCACCACTACCCGAGCCACAGGAAGACCCAGCTCCCACACTCCCCGTACTGCAAATAGAGACAATGCCATCACCTCCACTAACGGCTCAAGACATCGCCTTTGAAACCAAAAGAGACTCTTGTTTGGCCCAAGTTCTTGGCTGGGTGGAGAGGGGATGGCCAGATTACGACAGTAAGGAAATGTTTAAGCCATTTAAAAACAGACAAATGGAACTTTTTTCACAAAGAGGGTGCGTTTTGTGGGGAGACCGAGTTGTTGTACCAACTAAGTTACAAAAAAGGGTCTTGCAAATGCTACACGATGGACACCCGGGCATCGTACATATGAAAGCGCTGGCAAGAAGTTACGCCTGGTGGCCAGGTATAGATAAACAAATCGAAACCAGGGTCGCCTCTTGTAACAAATGCCAGGAGAACCACTCACCGCCACCTAAAGCCCCACCAACAGAATGGGAAACACCCAGGGGTCCTTGGTCTCACATTCATATTGACTTTGCGGGACCTACGAGAGGCCACACCTTCTTAATAACTGTTGATGCCTACTCAAACTGGCTTGAGGTCAATAAGATGAAAGCAACCACTACTGAGGAGGTCATTAAAAAACTGAACAGACTCTTCGCCACACATGGGTTACCAGATATCCTGGTCTCTGACAATGGGCCCCAATTTACTGCCTTAGCCTTTGAACAGTATTTAGCGGAACGGGGCATCCGACACGCACTCACATCGCCGGCTCATCCTGCGGCGAATGGTAGGACTGAACGAATGGTTCAGTTTACAAAGAAAACCCTGCAGAAAATGGATCAAGGCAATATCCATGACAAAGTCACTAGAATGCTGCTCCTACAACACATCACACCAAACAGCACGACCAACAAGTGCCCAGCTGAACTCCTAATGGCCAGGAAACTCAGATCGCCTCTAGATCGTTTGCACCCTGCCTACACCCCGGAAAAGCCCCTGGGTTCCAGCAGCAAGCACCGTGTTTCAAGGTAGGAGACCTTGTTTTTGCAAAAAAAATTTCTGGGGATCCCCTTTGGATTCCTGCCCAGGTAACTCAAGTTACGGGCCCCCGCTCCTACCGTCTACTCACCACTGATGGCAGACCATGGAAACGCCATATTGACCAACTGCGCTCCAGACTAACCACATTTTCCAACCCTGACCCTAACTTTGACACTGGGGGGGGAAGGGAAGCAGTGAACTCAGATTTAGAACCAACACCTGCTTATTCCGAGCTAACACCGAGATCACTGCACCATGGTTGGCAACACTCACCAGCTGCAGCTGAGACTGGACAGTCAAGCGCTTCGCCAAGAAGCAGCAACCAGGCAGGTTCAGCGAGCCCTGGGAGCCATGGCAGTAACAACGAGGCTGAGGACTCCATCACCCCGGGAGCACCAGAGGAGAGCCCTAACCTTGACACCGGTTCACCGTTCCTGTTTGATCCAGCAAGCAGTCCATCTGAACCTGGGTTTGAACAGGGTCAAGCGGAAATGCGTAAGTCAGGCAGACAGGTGCGAAGACCTGCCTACCTGTGAGACTATATTACTCCACCCCTTAAACGGAACCGAGAGGGGAGGGGTGTTCCGGACTAGCAGGCTTGTAGCCTGCAAATCTGATTGGCCTGCTGAAAGCCGATCGTGATTGGTCGCCATAGACTGATGCGATTGGCCAGTAAACGGGCTGCCGCGATTGGCCCTGCCAAGAGCGGCAAACTCAAATCGCCTTCATTGGCTGCCTAGCCGCAGCCAGCCCTATATAAGGGGCTGCTGCGGCTGGGGTTAGTTGCTCAGTTCTGAAGTCACAAATAAAGAGCTTTAGTTACTATCTGAGTCTTGCCTCCGTTATTGAACCGTCCTCCCAGATATAACATGTGGAATACAGGGTAAGAAAGATTGTGTCATTTTTACACTTTATTGCTGCAATGAACTGTTCCAACTATCTTGCCTCCTAGTATAAAAATGTTTACTTTTTTTAACAACATAAAAGGCTATTAAATGCTTACAACCCAAATTCTTCTATATGAAATAGAGCAAAATCCAAGAGTGAATGATCTCCATAGCAACTCCATTGTCAGATAGCACACACAACTTATTTTAAAAATCATGCAAGATAACTCCCAAACTGAATTTTCCATTTTCCTTTCTATGGTGAAAGTAACTATAAATTATATGTATGCTGTTCTAAAGGGGTAGCAAATCATAGTCTTTCATTTCATAATAGCTAAGGTAAAATTTCTAACATTCATTCAACATATTTCAAAATGACTCATTCTGATAAAATACATAAACAATAAAATGCATCCTTATCACCTCAATTAAAGGAAGCAATAGGCACATTTGCATGCTACCTAATTTTAGTAATTGACTGAAAGAAGGAAAAGAAACTGAAACTATGCCAGACAAAGTCTATCTTTTATGAGATACCTGGACTCAGAGATTGTTTTGTGTAGAGCTGCAGCCCCCCCCCCACACACACACAAAAAGGTGTGTGGTATAGTTTATTTCTTGTTCCTGAATTGTAATTAGATTCATAGTCATATGGTGAGGATCACATCTGCATAACTGTGCTAGTGTACCACCTGTAACCATTCCTTAATAAATCAGAACTGGGACACAGTTATCTATGCCTTAGTTACAGTTCATTGACAACAATAATGAGTTCTGAATTGGTTAACTTTTAAAAGTAAATTAAATGCACTTTGACACACTAGATGCTACTATACTTATGGTTTCAGCATTTGCACCATGACTACTATTACGACACAACCCAGGAGCAAAACACAGCACACAGAGACTTAGAATTTAACAATGGTTTGTCTACAACAGTTATATACAGACATATACATGGTAGGCAAAATACGTTACAAGCAATCTTTCATCGTAACTCTGCTCGGAGAATTCTGCAATGAAAACTGGACACAAGGAGGGAAAACATACCCTCTAATTGCTGCCTTTATATAAACACCTCTTAAAGCAATAGAACCCATCCCCAGTCTTAAAGGGAAATACTCATGCTATTCATCCTTATTGCATCAGACTTATATTGCCTCAGCTTACAGCAGCTGGCAGCTATTAAATCTTATACCTCAACAGACCTCTACATTCCCTGATGTATAAACCCTATTGCACCAGCCATTTTTAATTAAATCATTATTTTCAACATCTACATGAAATTGCTGGGTAAGTTTATATGTCACTTTAGGGTTCAGTTCCATTATACCTTTCAAACCCAGGCTATCCAAGGAAGGTGGTCAAGATTCTATCCTACTCCCTGGAAATTGTGTGGATTTCAATGGGCAGGATTCATCTTTAACATAATCCTGCCAAAATCAAGAGAGTATATGTGTTTAGCCATTAAGATTTGGAGATATTCCATTTTATTTTTACCTTGGTAAAACAAGATAATTTTAACCTTTCTTTCCACTTGGTATGCAAGGTTGGTATGCAAGTTGTTCTTCGAAAACACACAATGAATCTTCCTGGATTCATGACTATTGAAGAATATGTGTCAATTGTGGTCTTTGCACAACTCAGTCATGTGCGTCAGGGACACTCTTACCTAGACCCAGGAAAACTCATGCCCTGATCACCTCACAGTTTGATTACTGCAATGCATCCTACTGTACATGGGGCCACACAGGATATGGTGGACAAGCAATAATGGGCATGTCTTGACATGTCATATAACATCTCTGCTTCATAAACTGCTCTGGTTGCAGATTTGCTGTTGGGTTGATTTTTTTTTCAATATACTGGCCTTGTATTACTTTGTCTTCCCATGTATCTTTTCTGTTCTTCATCTGGTCTTTATTTTAAGCCAGTTTGCTTTCTCTAGAATTCAGTAAGCCTTCCTGGTATAGCTTCAGTGCATTCTCTTCACTGTTCTTAAGATATTTTTCCCATAACTGTTTTTCTTCTTCAACTGTCCGTTGTACTTGTAATATTCCACCCACACCTATTTTCCTTGGTAAGTAGAGTCTGTCAACATTCCTGGATGTTCCATGGTCCATTGAATTGCCATCATTATCATCATCATCATCATCATCATCATCATCATCATCAGGTTCATAATGTTCCATGAATTTTCCAAAGGAAAGAGCTTGAACCCCTATGATGTGGCAGTGCAAATTCTACACTTTAGACATGGGTACAACATCATAGCACATAGCAAACAGATGAAACCTTAAGCACAATGCTGTTTTTGACAGAATATCCACCTACATACCTTATCGCTTTACAATCCTCAATATCAAGAAGCCCTTGTGATTATTATTGTTACTGGTATGTGTGGTTTGTGGAGAATTAGAAAGTCAAAACAAAAACCTAGTCTTTTTTCCTGAGCTTTTTTTTTTTTTTTAAAGATCATTAAAGACTCAGACAATGTAAATAATACTATTGGAATTATTTTTATATTTTTTTATTCTGTTTCATGTACTTTCTTGCTCTCAGACAATGGAGTTTAAATGTAGCTGCAAATTGTGAATCTTTAAGTGTTATTGTTGTTTTATTTGTAAAATAGGATAAGTAGGCTGCAGTATTTTTTTAATTCAGGCACCAGCAATTGTATTCACAAACAAGAAAGGATATTGCTGTCTACTTCAGTCTGCAAAGCACGGTACAAAGTGTCTTCAGAAAGTCTTCTGAAAGTAAGACAGTGCTAGAAGTAGGTAAAGTACTAAGTATGTAGACAAGTACCAGTAGGTTCATTGCCTTCACCAGTCGGTTCTTATTGGAATATGGGATATTAATTTCCCACAAAATCCTTACAGAAAACTACTGTAAGTTCTTATTACTTATTACTGCAGTGCGTTGTTTGTGTTAAATAAGTTAGTTGGGAGAGTCAAACTAATCTTCCCTTCAGTTGTGGAAATTCACCAAGTGACTTTGGGCCAGTAATTCTCTATGACCTCACCTGCTTCACAAGATTGTATTGAAGGAAAAATTGAGACCCAGATACATAGGTAGTATATAAATTTCCTAATTAAAATAAAAGATATGTACTCGGCCATGAACTTTAAGAATGTGAAATATAATTTGAATAAATTAATATATCCCAAAACCAAATGGCGTTCCACATGAAGTCCTATATGTCTTATATGTGCCATCAAGTAATTTCTGGTTTCTAGCAACCACATAAATAGTTCTCCTCCATGATAATCTATTCCTTACCTATTCTTTCAAGTCTCTGAATAGGGGCATCTGTCACCACTGTAAGTGAGTCCATCCATCTTGCTGCTCTACTTCTCTTTCTTTCCACCTCCTAGTGATCACATAGATTTTCTCTTTATAATTGTTATTAAAGACTTTTTA